AAAATATTCTGAATTTAGGTGAATACTAGTTTGTATGTGATATGTTAATATTTTTAACATTTTAAAGAAATACTTGGTTTTCTTTCATGAGGGGAGTTTATAGTGACCTTTGTAACTTGTGCATCTATCCCTATCTTAAATTATGATGGAGAATTAAGAAACTCTATTTAAAGAATTCCAGGAAGTATTACTAAGATTAGTACTTTGCCTAAAAACAGGCGAAGTGAATACAAAGGTATTTTAATACTTTACTTGGGCATTTATTTAATTTTTAAAGATTTACAAATAACTGTGTACTAACTGTGGACATGTGTGTAGGTATTATACACAATGTGACATTTTGTTTTGTTAATCCACCATGGAATTATTAAATCAAGCTAATTCACACATCCACCATATAAAAGCCTGGAGGAGAAAAACTGGTTGTGAGGAACAAGAAGACACAAGTTGAAACTTCCTAGGCCTCAGGCTTGAATTTTAGGAAATCAAGAATAAGACATGGGAATTCAGCCCCATCAGCATATAACAAAATTCCGACCAACACAAATGGTAATGCTGGCCTTACAATATGATCTGTTATACCTGTTGAGATGTCATTCCATTAAAATCTGGAGTTTTGGCTTTAATTCAAAGTGAATTTTACTGTTGTCAAACAATGAACTAATGTAATTTCATGTCATTAAAGACATTATTTGCTTAATGGTATTTTGGATGTTTGGAAAATATCTTTTAGTTGCATAGAAAGAGTGTGTTCCTTATCAACATCTAGTATCATCACAAAAAGTTTAAATTTCTTTGTATGCCTGATCCCCTTACTTTGAATTTCCCAACACTAACATGTATGGTATTCGGGGTAAAACTAAGTCTGTCGAGACCTTACTTCCCAGGCACATTGAAACAAGATGCAGGGTTAAAAAGTGACAACCTTTAACCAAGGGGCAAGATCTTAATAGGAGCATACAAACAGCCCTTTTCATGGTACTTAGTTACACAGCACAATAAACTGAGCCAGTTTGGAGCACAGATAAGTTATGCACAAGAGAACTGTGTGGGAACCACTGGTGAAGATGGCATCTTGAGATTCCTACTTCTTGCTATCCATGTCTCTGTGTGAGCCCTGCTGTACTATGTAGGACCTCCTGTGGAGCCACAAAGAAATGGCAGAAAAGAAACCTCATGATTGCTGATCTCAGTTGCGAAGGATATAGTGCTCCTATGTTGCCCTCCGCTGGCTCACTGGTTCTAGAGGGAGCCAATTGCTTTGTGATGAAGGCACTCCAGCAGCCCACGGAGACACCCATGACAGTTAACAGAGGCCATCTGCCCATAGCTAACATTAACACCAGCCCTCTTCCTGCTTATTCCCAACGCAGAGAAATGGGTTTTATAGAATTCTGAAGAAATAGAGGCACAGCTAGAAATTTTCAGCAGCCTCTGTGTTTCATATTTGAATGAAAATCTGGTTTCAAAAATCTTAAGAGAAGTGAATATTCATAAGCATTGCCTGGAATATAAGTATAAAAGACTGTAAGTTATGTCTGATTATTTATATAAGCCCCAGTAATAAAAGATCTCTGGAAAACATAATTCTAGAGTTTACAGCCCTTTAGCTTCATCATGACAGGATCTCTGACAAGGTCTTGCTCCTGGATTGGGACTTGGAGATCAAAAAGACAATTTCAAAAGATGTTGTATGTGTTTCCACTCTGGGTCCACCTGATGCCATTTTTCCTTGCTCTTGACTAAATAAATTGGGCAGTTATTAGATTATTGTTTGTATAGTCTCTTATTTGGCAAATCTTTAATCAACCCCAGATCCTCTTACCTCTGGATCAAGAAGTGACCAACATACATGATACACGTTTCAGTTTATCCCTCGCCCTCAACACACTTGTGCTCTCTTTGCACAGTCTCAGTCTTGTGTTTCTGCCATCTCCTGAAACACTTCCAGAAATCTTCTTCTATGAGTGTCTTAACTAGATGTGATGAAAATACTTCTGACTGGCACACAACAAGAATCATTTGTTTGAAATCATTAAGGTGTGACCTCATGCAGCCCGCTCCCTGGAAGTGGGACCTGTAACTCCTGGTTATTCTCCAAAGTCACAGTGACTGAAAGGGAAATGTATTGAATCATTTTAGAACCCGGAGGCAGCTATGGCAGCTAAAGATACTCAGGAAAGAGGACCACCAGAACTGCTTCAGAATACGGCAAGCAAGACGGGGTAAGTGTGTTCAAAGTGAGGTGAGGCTTTGGACAGAGATTAATGCCAGTGTGTCTTACTGTAATAACATTAATATTTCAACCTTTTGTTTTTTTTGGTACCTGGAATTGCATCATTGATCTAAATCCCTGGTTCGTTTCAACTTATTGTTAATAGAAGCTACTATGACCCACAATAGGTTCCAGAGTAAAGAGGTTAGGCCATACATAAAGGCTTGTAAAACTTCTTGTGCTTAGGTAGTTCTCCCACTAACTACATAAACTGGAGGAAATTACTTTAAATATGCTTGTTTTGCTCTTCCTAGGAAGGGACAGAATAAATACAGGTACATGATGAGAACAAAATGGGTTAATGTTTGTTAACAACTTAGAGTGTGACATGTCAGACAGCACTGGACAGTTTTTCATTTTGATGAGGTAGATATGTGAATAGCCTGGATCTTACTGATAGGTCCAGTTAATGAGTGGATAGGCAGGACTTTGAGAAGGGAGAATAAATCTGTTTTTTCTTTGTTAAAAAGTGGTTCGCAAACTTTTTTAAAAATTTAATAAAATCTATATTCTCTCTCCCCAGGTTGAAAAACACAGTCACTGAAGCTGTGATTATGGCCCCAATTGGTCCTTTGCTATATTTACAAAGGGACAAGAAAGTGGATTGAGGGTCATGGCAGCCTTTTTTTTCAGTAGTGCTGAATGTAGAACATGGAAGAAAACAATATTCAGGATATTAACAATTATTGGAAACAAGATGACCTTTATCAAAGGGCCTTTCACGTGGACTGTAAGAAGTAATTCTAATCATTGGCTTTTAGGAAATGTGACAGATTATTGAAAAACACGTTTGTGGCCTGATGATGTTATTTAAATTGTGTTTTGTTGAGAACAGGAATTTGGGGGTGCTAATGAAGGTGTCCTAGTTGGGGCTGTCCTGTGCAGGTAGCACTGAAGCTCTGTGGAGCCCAATTCTGTCAGAGAGGTGCTCTGTTCTTTGACCTTGCTTCTTGGGCATTGTCATGGTTTATGTCTGTGGCCCCCAGGCCTCACGAGTTTGCATTGTGCATTTGGGATGGTTCATTGTCTAGTGCTTGGATTGATGGTGTCAGTGCTCCACCCACATAGAGGTGAGCCAGGATGTGATGTAATGGCAGGAAGAAGGTGTGTCTTGCTCTTTGCTGGTTCCTGCTTGCTGTTTGCAGCCGCCATGCCCACCTGCCTTGGAGCCGAGTGTGGACTGAAACCTCCAAAAACTGTAAGAAATAAACCTTTCCTTCCCCAACTTTGGGCTTCAGGTATTTTGTTTCAGCAATGAGTAAAAAGTAACTAAGACAGGCATCCAACAAGATTGTATTTGAACAAAAGTTCTATTACTTTCAAATGGTTGAGAAGCAATCTTCTGGATCCTTGTCAGTCTAGATAAATAGCAACAAACATCTTCATGCTGGATTGTCAGAATCAGAGACTGGCTATCTTGGCAGACAAATTGTCTTGTAAAGGGGAAGGAGGGCAGCCATGGGCAACTTAATTGAATCCTCAGGATATAATGATTTGGGGTGTTCTACAAAGCCACAAGGAAGCAGATAAGAGTTAATAAAAACATTAATTAATAAAAGAAGGTAAATTTGCACACCCCAAGGTGAAAAAGAGTTCACAATGAAGAGGTACAAAAACCCTTAGGTCAAATCACAGTTACTCAGAACACTAAGAAAGTTATGAGGATAGCCTTTCTTCTCCAGGCTTATACCAAGCTTGGAGACCCTCTTCTACAAATGTGTTTCTGGATTCCAACTGCAAAAACAAGTCACCTGTTTGCATCACTACATCTCTTTTCCCCCCTTGTGACAGTGTGTAAGATCTTCTGTGACCTCACAGTTCTCTGTTCAGATATTTGACTGCAATTAGTTAAGAGTCATGACCTGTGTGAGTAAAACCCACAGACATATGCTAAATTGTGTCTGTTTGATTTGGGACATGAAGAGATTCAATATGGTTCTGTCTACCATTCTCTGGACTATGAGCCTTCCAACTCTGGGAGCAGATGCATGCTTTATAGGTTATCTCCTCCCCCTCTTCACTGCACCTTTCAGTTAACTCAGGGGTTCTCGTCTTTTCCAGCTGCTTAGAGACAAGACAGCAGGTGGAGAAGTCTGAATGAGGCTAGTGGCTCCTGGGAAAGAGAAAGCTGTCAAGCACTGCCTTCTATTGTGCAGTGGCTCTTGCCATGACTTCTGAGCTTTCTCAAGGGCACAATCACACAGAGCCAAAGTGAGAGTCCCCTGAAATCCCCTTGGTTAGTGCTTTAAGTATGTGTTTAAGCTTCTCTGCAGCCTCCTTACTGATAGAGTATCTAAAACACAGTTCTATAAAACAATATGTTAAACTGTCTTGTGGGAGAGGAAGCCAGGTGACAGGGTCGGGGCTTATCAAGGCAGCCAGGCAGAGACAGGAGTTGCGACTGCTTTGGCACTGTTCCCGTGGAAGCTGTGTCCCAGCCTTCAGAGGCTAGAGCACTTCCCAAGTAAGCATGCTTGCCAAGCAGAACCTGCATCTGGGATGTGGGATTCTGAGACATCTCTGAGATCCTCTATAGCAACGTGGCTGTTTCTCCTGGTGGAGATCAGCTGCGCATCCCTCCCCCTGGGTCCCTTTGGTTTTCCTGCAGGTAAGGAGGCTGCTGAGAACTGTTTGAGCCACTGAAAGAAACTGCTTAATGTAAGTGTCTGCAACACAGACATCAGCACTGGTGCTTGAGATGCGGTAATAATCACAAAGTTCTTACTTCTTCTCTCCTTTGTACCATTCAAAGGCTGGGGGCGGCACACCTGCACCTTCACATCTGATCAATCCGCTGCGTCCGGGGGTCACAGTGCCAGATTTAATTTCCTGAATCGTAGGAGCAACTGAAAAGAAGAAATAACAATAAAAATTTGTGTATATGTGTGTGTGTATATATGTATATTATATATATATATATATATATATATATATATATATATATATATGAACCTAGTGGTAAGGAAAAATAATCTTCAGCAGAAATAGAACATGCATATATTTTTATTTCTTTTATATTCAAAGCAATTTATGTCTGATAGGTGAATGCATCATATTTGCAGCATTTTATGCTTCAAAGTATAAGATTAGTCATTTTCAGCTTCATTTTTCAACTTGGACAAGAGAAGAATGCTCTCGGGGCGCACAGAGTAAACTGCAATACATTCTGGCCTTGCTCCTTACTGGAAAAGTGGCAATGGTGAGGGGAGCACTTCATCTGTACCCCTAGCCAAACTCCCAGAATAGCTCTCACTCACCCAGAGGTCACTGGGACTTGTCATCAGGCTGGGTGTCTGATGTCCCTCATCTCACAGTCACACTAGAAGCAGGTAGTCTCATCCTCCTTTATAAATGCAAAAGCTGAAGTTTGGAGAGTTTCCATAATTTGTCTATGGTCACACAGTTACTTTAGTTCCAGAATTTGAATTTGAAGTCAGCCAAATTGAGTCAACCTGGGGTCTTTCAATAACACTATGTGTTTTTTCCCTGTGCCTTAACAATTTCAGTGATTTTATTGTGTTATTTCTCTACCTGGATGCAGTTTGTTTCCATTTCCACAGATTCTATTTGTGGTGTTACTGGCTCTATACTCTTCACTATACCTCTAGCTGGAAATAACATTCTTTTCTCTAAGTAGTTTATCTGAATTGCTTATATCATATGCTTTCTCTCTTGCATTGTCATTATTTACGAATATGCCAAGCTTCTTTGCCAGAGCCCTGATGGTAGGGCAAGTGTTAGATTCACCTTTGCACATTCAGAGACCGAAGCACAGGGAGTTCTGGTTACATAGCCAGGCCTTTCTTCACCAAGTGCTTATTGAGCCATCAATATGTGTCAGGCATTTCCTCAGGCACTGAAAGGTCAAACTCTTGATGCCCTTGAGCTTACGTTCTAAATGGGTGAGGCATGGAGAAAAGGACTACAAAGAGAAAAATAAAAGCAATAAGCAGTCTAAATCCAATGTTGGAAGGTGATGAGGAACATAGTAAAATAAAGGCAACAGAAAGCCCTTGCACTGAAAAGTAAGGAGAATTCATGCACAGAGTAGAATGCAATTGTGTATAGACTAATCAGAATAGGGCTCACTGGGGAGGCAGGTTATCCTGAAGAGACTGGGTCTAGACAGGTGAGTGAGCTTTTTGGTATCCAGAGAAAGCCCTTTTGGAAGAAAGAGAATGTGTAGCAAGGCCCTGAGACAGAAGTAGTGCTGGTTGGCTCATGAAATAATCAAGAGAAAGGAGGAAACACAGTCAGTGTAAGGACCCCAAAGGACCACGGGGTGGGGGAGCATGGAGGGCTCTGAGGACTGTTAAGAAGCTGGTGAACCACTACAGAGGAAGGGTAAAGCCCAGCTTGTGTGCTCACAGGATCACTCCCTCTGCTGTTGTGTTAAAGAAAGACCCAGGAGAGGTCAGGCTAGCAGAGGTGGGAGCCTGCAGGACACTGTGGGAGAAGCCAGGCCATGCTGGGACCATACAGGGTGATGGCAGTGGAAGTGATCGCTGGCTTTGCGGTTAATTGTAAAGCTGGACCCAGGAACATTTTTTTGTTTTGATAGATTGAAGTGAGGTTGAGATAAAGGGCAGAGTCCAGGGTGACTTTATTTGGTTTAAGTAGCTCACAAGTTCGAGGGAATCCCATTTACTGAGATGAGATTTGAAGGGTGAAAAATATCGAGTGGGAAGAATCAGAGTTGTATGCATGTGTTTTCTCATAACTATTCCCTTTTCTACCAAGCTCTTAACATTGTACACATTTAAATTACACCATGGGAGAGAATTTAATACAACTGGAATCTTGAAAATGTAAATAGGAGTTCATTCAGAAGTATGACCTAGGTAAATGTGTGTGTCTGATATATTTGAGGTTTCTTGCAAAGCAATGAAAATGATCAAGGTTTAATGTTTTCTTCAATATGTCAGTATACAAAACAATAAATAATCTTACAATGGGACATTACCTTTCCTTGTAAAAAATACCCTAGTAAATTCATCATTTTGTGGTAAGGGCAATACTTCATTTTGAAATGATAGCACTGTGTATTTCTCCATGGTGTTTATGCTAATAATACAGATTCAATTTGTAGTTCTAGGATAAATTCACAGAAGTAGTTTCATGAAAGCATTTGCTAATAAGTTGGTGAAAAATAATGAATGTTTACCATAAAACGTTTGAATGAGAAAATGGTAGCAGATAAACACACACACATATGTGGACAAATACATGCCTAGTTATCTATACATCGGTCTATACAAAGACAATATAAGGCATCACTTAGTATTTTTTAACATTTTGTTAAGCAAATATTCATGCCGCACCCTATCCATAGCTGTAAAATATACAAACGCCAGCTGTACATGAACCCCACTCATTGTCAGTTATGACACAGTTTTGTGTTGAGAGGCCCAGGTAAGACTGGGTTTTCACAATTGTCCTCACAGTCTTTCATGTCTCCCTGATGGTCTCCCTGTCACACCCACAGACCATCACCTTTCTTGATATCTAACTATTATTGAAGATGAGATCACCGTATGCAGCAGGAGCTCCACCGTGACCTTCTATTGATAATCTGGTTAGTTTAATTACTCTCTTGTTTGTCAAGGGGGCCATGACTTATTACAAACAAAAGCATGAAATCCGGAATATTGCCTGAAAGCCTGGGCATAACGAACTGAAATAAAAATCTAATTAATCATTAAAAGGCTTTGATAAAGTAAAACATGTAGATAGCTTTGCAATAGGTGCTTCACCACACAAGTGAAGGGGAAATGACCTGTAATCCTGGAGTCTGTGGGGTGTCTCTGAGAGATGCTCTGTAGGGAAAGAACCATACTGTGACACAGAGAAACATGGATAAACAGCGAATCAATAATTAATAACGGCCTGTCTAAGAGGATGTCCTAAGAGTGTTTTGCAGAGCAAAGACTGACAGGGCTACAGAATACAGAATAGTCAGTGTAGAGAGAGGATTTTCATGTAGGTTTTATTTAGTGACTAAAATTATAAGCATGAACATAAAGTTCCCATTGATTTTTCTTGGGGACATGAAAATTTACATTACTTATTCATATCACTGTGCAGCTTTTGGAAATCATCCATTCATTTATTCTTCATTTCTTCTTCAGGTCAAGAAATATGTGTATGAGGGACCACGATAATGGAAAAAAAAATATTCATGGCCTCATAGAGCTCTTAGATACGGAGAAAGCTTAGCTGGAAATTGAGCAAGGCAAAGGAAGAAGTAAAACAAGGCATGCGATCCTATGTGGTACAATTACAGAGCTCTGTACTCTTAAACTAGTAATTGAGAATTACAAGATGAGTCAGTCCAGGGACTATATGGAGGTCTTACCACAAAAGAAGAAACAGGAAAGGCAGAGACTCTGAGTTGGTTCGCTCTTAGAAGCAGAAACACATTTCAGTTTAGCACCCAGCTTCTGCTTAAAGTACATCAAAAATGATCATCATGGCTTGAGCAGAGTATGTAAGGAGAGAAATCCAGGGAAGATGTGAGGGCTGGTACCAACGGGGCCTGATGTTGTATCCGTGCTGAAGACTTTGAATATTTTTCCACGAAGATGAGATTTGGAAGATTTTGAGTGCAAGAGGGATATTTGATTAAAATTTTATCAAGATTCTGTGTCTGTCATGTGAACATACTTTACAGAAAGGCAGGACAGGAAATAGGCTGGATCATCAGAAGTCTGGTGTGGTAATTCTCAGTATGCTGAGACTGTTGCTGCCTACTCCTTTGACAAGACAGGAATTGAGGAAAAGCAGAAATAGGTCACTGGTCACACTGGACCAAAGTCAAATTCTTGTAGTTGACTGGCAATGACTGAACATTTTCATTGAAACTCCAAATTGTATGTTGTTTTAAACTCTGATATTTGTATAAATAAAAGGCTTTTAGGACTAACCACTGAAATGCCCATTTTTACCCATTTTATACATTCTTTAATGGAAGAGTTCTTAGACATTATGCTGCTAACATACAATTGATAAATCTCTTCCTGGACACAGACTTTTCAAAAGTATTTTGCTGTAGAAAGTTGTATTTGAGCTTTTGGTGAGCTTGATATTTCTGGACACATACTGTCAGTATATTGGATGCCTGTACGATTAGATCTCGAGGGTCTATGGCACATCTGAGGCTATGTAATCTAGGACTTCTAAGAAATAGTCACTAGTTCCACAAGATTTCATGTGCTTGAGAGCTAGCTTGTGCTTGTGAATTTCATGAGAGGAAAATGCTTCCAATTTTGGCCCACAAGGATATAGCCTTTTATTTGCCTGGGATAGGTGTTCCTAACAATTATGACTAGGTAAACTTCCAGCTGGAACTGTAGCAGTGAAAATTATAAGTATGCTTGGCCAAATTGCCCCAAACAGGCTTTTTACACTAAAATATTCCATGTGCTAGGAAATGATAAATGCTGGAAAAAGTGAGTGAATGGTGGGGTGATACCTGAGCACTGGCTCCTAGAAGCTGTCTTTGATCACCACACTGTGACCGCAGCTCTGGGACTCTTGACCCTGAATTATCAATGTATGTGTTGTTTCCTGTAGTGTATATGTACGCACCTTCACATGTTTATGTTTCAGAAACTATTTTCTTTTGTCATGGAGGTAGATTTTGTTCCACTCTGATGTAGTCTTTTAATGATATCAAAGTTAGTAAACAAAACAACTCTTGAGCTGCTCACTCACATTCACGAGCACCCTGGCTTCCTTTGGAACAGCCTGAAATGTGTGCACTGACACCTAAGCACATCTGCCATGTGCCAAATTGTACATGACTGTGAGATGAAACAATTGCACAGTGAACAAAATTGGTTTCTGA